GGGTTCCGCCGCGGCTGCGAGTGGTGCCCGGTGCGCCTCGGAACGCGGTGGGTGTGCCCGAACCTCCTCTAGCGTTTGTTTCTTATTTCCCATTTAGGATCTGTGGTTGCCTATTTTACGTCCGCAAAGTTTCTTCTTTATCTCGGGCATGCACTGTCCACCTGGGTAAGTAAATGGTAGATGTGTAGAAGGTAGATTTTAATAATCGAACCTTGATTTACTAGAGAGTTATTGATAAAAATACCACAGCAGAGACAGAGTTCTCCTTACGACACCTTGCTCTTGAAAGTATTCAGAATCTTTACATGATCTGTTGAAGGAGATGGTGTTTTCATTAACACGGAGTAGTGCAGTGCACTATTTCATGAGGGCCTCGTTCTGTGTCTTTTTATGCTTTTAAATAACTACAGAGCTACTGAGACTCCTTCCAAAGTAAGTTCTCAGTGGAAGAAATGAATCATAGTCCATAGCAGAAGGAAAGATGGTCCACTGCAATGCATATCTGAAGGACTTCATGTTTACTACACTTACTAATGGAAGATACTCAGTGTTTACAATGGACCCCTTACTACCACTCATTAGCAAACCTGTTGAGAGTGTCAGGTGTCTTGCTTTTCTATCAAAATGTTTGCCTTCTGAAATGTTTTCTTTCTGTACTAAAGTCACTTACTGCAACAGCTTTTACTCTCTTGAAGGCTACTGAAATAAAATTCTTAAAGTATGTACTAAAAATATTCAATCTGGTTCTATTCCATATGATAACATATTATATATCTTATAATACAATCTTATGTCTGTATCCAATGGCTCAATCAAAAAGGAGTGGAGATTTTCCTCTCTACTATTCCGTGTTGTGTCTTTAGTCCTGGATTTGGGCTGGTTTGGTGCACACTTTGTAAAGCATTGAACAAATGGCAGATACACAGTTAGGATGTTGCACCCCTAACCCTGGCATCTCCTTGCTTTCACTAACCTGGAAGGTCTTATTGATGGATCTGTAGCAATATTTTAGCAATTACTAGTATTACTGGAGGAGCTGAGTGGTGACATTTCAGTTCGGTACACTGCTTTTCAGAGCGCAGGGTTGTGACCTGCAGCAGTTTCTGTCGCTGCTGCCCACGAAGTGCCCAGGTGGCAGTGGGGCAGCCCTGCTTCCTCCTCTCTGACAGAGCTTCAAAGCCTCCGCACGGGAGGCTCCTGGGGAAAGGTGACCAAGCAGAGTCTGAAAACGATGTCACGCTCTAACAATAGACTGCACGATGTCTGTGCAGCTGTTTTGTAATACTAACAGTTTGCTACTTGTTCCAGTGTGTTTTCTTTTGTGCTGAAAATCTTGACTCAAAGAAAACCCGGCTAACCTGGTGGAACAACATCAGTACAACTTACTGTGACACAGGCACAGGACTGCACCTTTTGTCTCCTAAGCATTAGTGTTCCTGTAGTCTGAATGTTTTGCTCACAGGAACGATAAACAGCCACCTAAATCTTCAGAACTCGGTGACAGTTCATCTTTGTTCTAAAATGTCTCTGTCCTCAATAGAAAACCTGATAGAAAGTGGGTTTGCTGTAGTTGAGAAAGCTAGTTTGGTTTCTGTGTCACTAAACCTCTGTGTTATTAAGCCATTCCTAAATACAGAGGGAAGCTGGAAGTGATGAAATCTGTCACATCTCCACAAATGTCAGTTTTTAACGAAGTCTAGTCTGTACCTTAGGCTCTTGTTCAGTAAACCATTTGAATGTGTGCTTGCCCTCAGAGATCTCAGTAGGCTGAGCAGCACTGCTGAGCTGTTTTTCATTCATTGCTATCACTCAGCAGCAGAGGAAGAGCAGACTCAAGCTGGCCTCACCGTGCTGGTGCCAGGCCTGATGCTTGCCGGAGGTCGGCTGCCGCTTGCTGGTTTTATCTGTGCCCCTCGGACCTGGGGGCCTGCGGTAGGTGTGCTGCAGGCTTCGGTTCCCAGATGGGATTGTGCACATTCAGTCTGAGGTGATTGTAAGGGTAATTACAGTGACAGAAGAGCAAGAAACGTCTTTAAAAAGGATCGTGAGGCTAAACAGCTGTAGTTAGTTATTTAAAAGAGTTGAAATACATTTTGTGACACTTTAAAGTGAGATTGAGTATATATAATCAAGGCTTTGCTCTTTTCTGAAGGCAGTGTTTACTGTTTATACTTGCGATCTTAGCTTGAAATTACATACCTGCTTCAGACCTCTGTAATGTCACTAATACTCTTCTTTTGTGACACTAATTTATCTTTGCTTGTTCTTTATGGTTTTTAATTCTTGAAAGAAATTCATGCCTCTGTGTTGGAATGATGTTAGTTACTGGAAAAATTATCTGTGTGGGTTGGCATGATCAAAATAGTTCAGGTAAATGTGTTGGATAAGGTTGAAAAGAGTTCAGACTCCTTCAATGAATTATATATCAAAATCCTAATGTCACTGGAATCAAAAGAATCAGATTTTTCACTCTTGACAGTAGTGGCTACCACTGACGTTCACATACAATTTTATTGGTTTTAAATGCCTTTTTTGTCCTCTCAGAATTCAGTAAATGAACATCTCTGCATAAATAAAAAAAAAATCCCAGAGTTCTGTTATGAAATTTTATGTGAAAGTAACTTTTTTAGCTTATTTTTATAATGTAATAAAGTTACGCAGGCTAATAAAAACTTAGTTAATCCACCTGCATATATATTAAGTGAGATTCAGTAGAGAGATACCTTAGGTCATACTCAGTTTTAGTGCTAGACTTGGGAAATTTTCCTGTGATTTTGTTGCTGGCATACTTTTTATATTCTCTTACTAAGGGAAAAAAGTGGAATATGTTTTACAGAAGACTGTGGGTGTCCCTGCAGAGTGAAAATTGGTTTGTTATATACAAGAGGACACACCTAAGCTGATCATGCCTGTATCTCCATTTTTCATGTGTTTTGGTTAGAAAACACATGAAATACACAAAGTTTTTCCATGGAAAAGGTGAAATTTTTTTTCCAATGTGATTGTAATTTTTTTCAGCCTATGGTTAGGGACCAAATAGAAATGTTTACACATTGTAATCTTTGAAAAACTTCCCTCAGAGAACTTCAATAACATGAAAGGTCCAGTTCTTTTTGTGTGCCTATGCTACATTGAAGATGTTAATCAAACTGCCGTTATTTTGACCCTCCAAATAGCATATTTTTTACGTATCTCTTAATTGTTATATCTTAGACTTGTCAGACTTTGCTTTTTAAAAGTGCTTTTATGCTACACCTCCCCCAGCCCTTCAGAATATTTGAGGTCTTCAGAAATTTGTAGTACTTGCTGTGTCAAATAGCAGTGCTTATTTAAGATATGGCAGCAGAAGAAAACAGTTTCACGTTTCGTGTTTGAAAGACTAACATTAGAGATCCTTATTAAACAAACTTTGTGCCCTGGCATGGTATGAATGATTTCTGTTCATCTGCTTTATGTTGATTACATAAAGCATTTTCCGTAGCACATTTCTTGCACGATGTTTACAAATGAAGTGAGATGTGACTCCCACTACGTGACAGCATAAAAAACCTTGAAGTATTTGTTAGCAAGCCTATTTGGTAGCAAATGTAAAAAATCTTTTGAATAGTATGAAAATTACTTCACTTGGACATGTTTAGTATTTTGGGCTTCTTGTTTTTTACATGTAGAAAATGGTATAAGAACATGAAAGTTTTGTGTTCTAAGCAATAAGCTGAACAGATTGAACTAGCAATGTGATTGAAATAGGTTAAACAAGCTCTGGTATTCTGCCTCTGAGTGATATGCCAATGCTTAACATGATTAAAAAGAGCTTAACGTCCATTGACTTCAGCAGCTTCTGTTAATGGTTAGGGTAACATCTTCCTTGATTGACCCATGTCTATTCTGGATTGTTATGGGAATTGATTTGGCTTGATTTGCCCTTGTTTTAAAGCTGCATTTAAGCTTTGATCATCTAAGCAAACTGCTATCCTGAAAATTTATTTAAATACTATTGCTAATCGCTAAATCTGCAAATATTTGATTTGTGCTTGTGAGTGTATCTAAGATTTCTGAGGCTTGTTGGGTGTGGCTGGTAACAGACTTTGTCCTGTAATATTTTAGTAGAAAATATCTGAGATTTTTGTGTATTACAAGCTGTAACATTGCACTTGATGAGACAGATGATCTTGGTGATACTGGGGTAAAATCAATGATGACAGCATGTAGTCATAAAAAACCCCAACAACTCCAAAAATTAAAGTAGCATCCAACCCCACAACAGCAACAAAAATACCCCGCCCCCCCCCCCCCCCCCCCCCCCAAAAACCAAACCAGCTCACATGTACCTCACCCCTGCACGTAACAAACGTTTATTTTAATATAGACTTTTGTCAGGGCATTAGTGAACAGTCAACCTGTGTGCTTGCAAAGTGCAAACAGTTAACGCTGTGTGTGTGCTCTCTGTTACTCTTGAAGGGAGACCGTATGTGGCATTTTGCTGTGTCTGTGTTCCTGGTTGAACTTTATGGAAACAGCTTGCTCCTGACTGCAGTGTATGGACTGGTTGTGGCGGGGGGGGGTTAATCTCCTGGGAGCCATTATTGGAGACTGGGTGGACAAGAACTCCAGGCTCAAAGGTTAGATGCCTAGAGCAGGTTATTTACTTCAGGATGGATCAAATTGATGTAAAAAGATAAAGCTGATACAGCTAACTCCTCAAGTCAGATATGAGAACGAGGCTTGTTCATTTTGTTTTAAGAAGAGTAATGTTTCAGAGTGGTAATAATTTTACAAAGATAGTGTCAAAGACGGGAGGAACACAGTTTTATGTCTCAGTATATCCTAGTCAGGCTAAACCTGTACAATACATGGAAATGGGCAGCTAGAAGAGCCCTACGGGCCAAGTTCTTTTACAGGCTTGTACTAACATACATTTATATTTGTTGTCTCCTGTCTGGATACAAACCTTTCACTTCAGTGTAAAAATGCACTGCTTTTGCATTACACCCGTTTTAAACATCTGTGCTCTAGTCTGCTTTATAAAGAACATGACATCAGGTTCTCCATACAGTTTTTTCCAAGGGTTTACAACAGCATCACTTCCATGATAACCTGAAAATGAATTTTAGAGACTCAAGATAAGTCTCGTTTTTACCCCTTTAAAAATAACACAACCATTGAAGCAGGTACAGTTTGGTTTTTGACTGAGGAAAGGCCTACTTGGACTGTAAATTAATTAATGAATTTTTAAGAGTCATGAAGCTACATGAGATGATAAATTTGTTTCTTTAAGACAGTGGAAGATTCAGAGTCTCATATGAAGTATAGTTTTGCCACATACATTGGGAAGAGAATAGGAAAATAAAAGTACTTAAAGCATCTGTGCATGTTTCCTAATTATCTCCTTAAGCCTACAGTTAGCTCATTCTTATGTTCATAACTGTTGCTCTCTGTTTTGATTCAAAACAGTGGCCCAGACATCCTTGGTTGTACAGAATTCATCTGTCATCCTGTGTGGTATTATCCTGATGGTTATCTTCTTGTTTAAGACGCAGCTTTTGACCTTATACCATGGATGGCTTCTTGTGAGTGCTTAAACTTGTTAATAAGGAATAACATATATAACACTTTGGGGACCTTTTTTCTCTAGTCTGTTTAGATGTTCCTGGGAACCAAACCTGTCAAATTAAACTTTGAGCTAGTTGGGTGAACAGACATGATTGTTTTTGGTCAGGATGGGTTCAAATGTAACAGTCTTTTCTGGTTGTGGAGGGTAAGAGTGGAGATCTCCCTTCATCAATTTTCTCACTTTGTAACTCTTTATTTCTCTAGACGATCTGCTATATCCTGGTTATCACAATAGCAAATATTGCTAATTTGGCCAGCACTGCCACAGCGATCACAATTCAGAGGGACTGGATTGTTGTGGTTGCAGGGGAAGACAGAAGCAAACTGGCAGGTGAAATACGTTGCCTTTTCAATACCTTAAATGTCTTACTTCCTGAGCTTGAGTTTTAAACCAGAGTTTTACAGAGGGCAGCACATCTTTGGGTTCCAGGTATTATGAGAAAACAGTAGGTAGAAAGGGCAGCCTTTGTTTCCCTCTTCCATGCTCTGGACTGCAATTACTGTTGTGATTACAAGTCAGTTAGGCATCCCTAAACTTTTGTCCTCCTTTTAGTCCTACCGCAGCTTTGTCAGGAAAACTTTATTCTTGCTGAACAAACAAACATACACCACACTCTTAACCAGTGTTTAATAGAAAAGCCATTTAACTTTCTGATGCTTAAAGCCAAGTGTTGCAATACTGTATTTTTAGATCCCTGGAATGAAACAGAAAACTGTTGCGTAACTGGGCTCCTCACATAGGGATCAAAGAAAGAGGTACATGAGAATGAAGTCCAAAACAGTAAAGTAGGTGGATCAGGAAACTGCCAGTAGGAAATGCTGTGCATGCAGATACATCTGCACTTCCCTAGTATTAGATGTCTAACTCAGAGCTGTGAACACTTCCCTTCAGTTGGAACTGAAAGCTCTGTGTTTTTGTGACATCTGATACCTTTGGGATTAGACTACAGATTTAATCTTTTTTTTTTTTCCTAGTAAATATTTTGCCCCCTTTCTTCCCTTTCTTGCACGCAGCCATGGTACTATTAGGAGAGAAGTTGAGTTCCCATTCAAATTCTACTGCAGTTTAGTAGCCAGGATGGTGCTTGGACGTGAGAGGGTTTTTTGGCTCCTCCCCAAGGACACACTGCACCCGACTCCTGCGCTGGGCTGCTCCAGCTGCCGGGCTGCTCCCAGCAGGGGAGGCACGCTCCACCTTCGGCCCTGCTGCTGCGGCGTGAGAGGCAGCGGCTCTTGGCAGTGAACTTGAGCAGCCTGTGTGGGCTCTGAGCCAGTGCTGTAAGGGGACTTAAGCCCTCCCGGACAGAGGAACTGATACTGAAGTGCAAACAAAGCACAGAGAGCTTAAGGTTGCCAAAACATTTGTAGCTCACTAAAGTAACCATGGGGCTAAAGTTTGTCGTCTGCTTGTGGACTTCAGATATATCCAGGCCTAGACAGCACTTCAGCTTCTGAGATTCAATTTCTGTATGAAGCTGCCTAAATTGCCCATAAAGTTCAGTTTACAAGCCAAGAGTCGTTTTAGGAATTTGAATCCTATACTGTAGATTTTTCTTGACATTTATCTCCAGTGATTGAATCTTAATTTCCCTTATCCAGAAGAGACTAGTTCTCAATTAGAGGCATTAAGTGTCTTGCTTTCGTTTCTAAGCATACAGATTTTCCACCATAATACTCTTATTTTGACCTTGCAGTGCCATTCTAGGTCATGCCTGTTGTAGAACAGCAGTATAGGTTAACTTTGTGTGTGAATCACAAGAATAAAAATACCATCTGTCTGTAAAAGCCTAAGGTTCTAAAGGTTCTCATTAACCTTTCTTCTTGTCTCTGATCTTACTCAGCAAATCATCTCTGCAGTCACAGTACTACTTACTACACATGAGATAAGGGACAGACCACACCTGCAGAGAACTTCTGCATGGGAGGCAGTCCTGCTTCTGTACTGCTTCATGAGCTCAGACTTGCACAACCACTTCTGTTGTGTACTGAAAAAATCAGGCAAGAGATTACTCTGAATTCTTATGCTACTTCACTTAAAAACAAAAAACCCGCTGAACTAAGCACCTTAGTTCAACAGATCTATCTGAAGGATCTCTTCCAGGCTAAATGAATAGGGTTGTTACATGTTTAATCATAATGTAAGTTGGAGACTGTTGAAATTGCTTAACTTCCAGTACTGACTTTGTAGCAAATCCTGTTGTCCATCTCTGCACTGTTACCTTTCCTCACAGAGGAGGAGCCTTAGTTAAGGAAGTTAGTGGAATAGGGAAATAAAAAAAAAAAAAAATTGCCTAGCCTTCCCCTTCTTTGTTCTTGATTAATTTTTTTCCATTCACTCTTTTGTCTTTTCTGAGTGGAAATACTGTCCTTCCTCAACTCAAAAAACAAAGCTTAGTTCTTGGAATTTCTAAAGCCAAACTTTATGCAAGTATCTAACTTACTCATTTTAGTTAACTGTCAGTCAAATAGTTAACATTGAATTAACTTTTAATTCTAAATAGAATAACCTAAACATTTCTGTGAATGGCAAGGAGTAAATCTCTATAGATTCAGGAAACCAGCTTCATGCCTGTATACAGTTTCATGTGCCCTTCAAAAGCTCTGATTTCATAACAGGACTCTAAAATGGGTTTGAGATGTACTTCTAAGCAGCCTGATGCCCTAATGTGCACAGCTATTGAGCCTCTAGCAGCTTTTAGGGGTGGAACAATGGCACCATTAATTGGAAACTTAGAGGAGCCCAAAGGGTGTAATGATGCTAAAGTGAGTAAGACTGGGGAGGTCGAGACATCTCCTATCAGCAAATGGGGGATGCATTCATGCCAAGAATGGGCTGTTTGTTTTGACCACGAACATCAAAGTGTGTAAGAGAAAGGAGTGAGGGCTCGGTGCTCACTGAGTTCTGAGAATCTCAACAACTGCTGTCAGCCAGTGTGTCTCCCTAAGGAAATTCAAAGCCATTTCAAAGATCAGCTGCTGTCATGGTGGGTATTGTGGTCAGCAGTTACTAGAAGTAAATCAAGGCAATTAAGAAATACATGGTCTGGTATTAGGAGATAGTAGTTGCTAAAATTATCTTTACAGGAAAGAATTCTATCATATAAGAGTCCTATTAGTGTCTGGAGTTGTGCATGCTAGGTTTGAACGTTACTGAGATGGGCTCAGAGTCCATGATGTCTCTTGGATGTCAGGGTAATCTGATGTCATCACTAACAGTTTTACCTGCAGGAGTACACTTCCACTCTGCACCCAGCATGCTAAACCTGGACAACCTCATGCAGGCAAAACTGACAGGAGCAGGGATTTGGCTTACAAACACCTTGGCTGATTGCAGTAACTGAGACATTGGAACTCTCTAAAGGTGCCTTTGAGTAGCAGTCTAACTCCTGCTCCTGCTGGAACCAATTACAGTTGGAGCAAGACTCCATAGCTTGATGTGCAGTCATCAGTTATGTTAGTGAATATTTCACTGTAAATGTTCAGCAATTACTTCATCTCATCAAATAATTTCTGACAGATATGAATGCCACAGTAAGAAGAATTGATCAGTTGACCAATATCTTGGCCCCAATGGCAGTTGGTCAGATAATGACATTTGGCTCCCCGATGATTGGCTGTGGATTCATTTCTGGCTGGAACCTGATGTCAATGTGTGTGGAATATCTGCTGCTCTGGAAGGTTTATCAGAAAACCCCTACTCTGGCTCTCAAGTCTGTGAAAGCTGAAGAATCCGAACTGAAACAGCTGAACGTAATTAAAGGTATTGAAAACAAAAACACATATTCACAGTATATTCACTGTATCAAAGTGAAGTGTTGACTTTTGTCTTCTACAGATGCTGCTTTGAGGCTGTATAACTTTCTACTCATTGCTTGGAGGTTTCATTTTTTGGATATAGATACCAGACTCTTCAGTAACAATGCTTTGTGCAGTTATTTGAGGAATCGCATAAAATGCAGCCGATGAATGAATTCTCTGCTCGTAGTCTTTCAGAACAAGTCTGCCCTCTTATTTAGGATGATCATGAGGAATACTCCTGCCCATCCATTTCATAGCTAATAAGCTGATAAAGCCCTTTGCTCTGTAGCATCTATGAGCAAAACAGCTTGTGTAGGACTCTTTGATAACTCTCTGCTTATGTGTAATATAACAGACTTTCAGGAGGCTGTAGAGTAGGTGGTAGTATTTCTACTCTGACATGCTGCAGGAAATGGTAAAAATCTGCTTTGACCTTCTACTCCTTTTGCTGAACAACTGGGATTTGCAGTGTAGATGGCTATGACTATAAGCAATCTTAAAATTGATGTTAGCATTAGGCTAGATATCAGAAATTAAAGTTGTTTAAAAAGCAGACTTTGTCATGAAGTGTTAGAAACATCAGATACCAGAATACAAAACTTAAGTATTTTCCTGTTCTTAAGGTAGCAATTTGTGAATGCTACTGAGAAGCTCACGCTATAGGCTCCAAACTACAACATGTTCTATGTGGTGGTCTGTTTTTAAGAAAGAGTTATAAAGAATTCCTGTTGTTTTTTTTCCTTTAAAAGTTAGTTAGCAGTCTGTTATTTGCTCAGTATATATAGGAGGCTGCTATTAAAAGTGCTGAGGAGACATTTCTTCTTCCCAGCCAGCAGGTCCCTTGTGGTAATAGCTGGTCCAGTAAGTTATTGGACTAGGCTGATGGTAGCCTAAGATAGGGGAGCAAGATAAAGAGCATCGAAGGCTCTATAGCTTTGGAGCTGGCTCTTAAATGCTGAAGAATGAAGCATTCAGCAGATGTCAACATGTAGGAAACATCTCCTAATCTTTGCATTATGATTCTGAGAGAATAGTCGCATTTTCAACAGTTGCAGAAATACTTCACATCTCTCACTTGCTCAGGCATCTGAACTTGTGTATCATTTCTGTCCACGTTACTAATCTAAGTACTGTTGCGGGGTTTGAGCATTTTTGCTCATGGCTAGTGGAAGTGCCTTTCACCTATGGATTTCCAAAAATGGAACTGTAGGAAAGCACGGTCTGAGGTTCTTTTTTTAAATCAAATTTTGAAAGCTTTTGCTTTTGGTAGGCTTCAGCAAGTATCTCTGCCTTGGTTCTTCCGCCATGACCTGAGATGTTGACAGATAACGTTTAAGTATTCCCTACTTTTTGTAGTTACTGCATTTAAGCGTACAAAACTATATTAAAATAGTATCTAACATTGGCTTTATTTAAGCAGATAATTTCTTTATGGTAACAGAGTATTCAGCCACAAGTTTATTGAGGAGAAGCAGGCTATGCTTTCCCCTACCACAGTTTAATTAAGCAGGAGTTTAAACTGATAAGGATAAACTTTGCTTGCTCTTAGTATGCAGGTGGGCTTGAAGGACACTGCAGAGCATTTCAGTCATCGGGGAAGGCTGCTTGCAGAATGTAACCAACGCGCTTCTGCGGCACTCGGCTTGCTCACTGCAAACGGCTGTCCCGTGGTCGTGCGGCGCGTTGCGGGAGGAGCGTGGCTGACGGTTGGGTTTCTGTTCACAGAGTGTGAGGGGAGGCCTGGAGAAGGGGTGCAGCTGGTGGCTGAGAAGGACGCCCCGGGCCGCCAGGCG